AAAGCAGGAACAAGAACAGAGTAAACTCAAAGGCTTTGAATACATTTGAGTAGAAGAATTCTGACACATGAATATAATTATTATGAATCCTGTCCTGTTCTTTTGTCGCAGACATGCACTCTGTGAGCTCTAATAGGATTTTTGTTTTCGCTTCATTGTAAAAAATAAATGTTAATATGTCAGTATGCTCTAAAAAGTACAAAAAACAGGATTAGCTATTATTTGAAAATGAAGACACACAATTGTATAATTTTACTATTTAGTTATTGATAACGAATTTGGGAAGTACATTGAAGGAGAAAGGTACATCTCAGCCTAAATTCAATATTTACAATGAATTTAATAAAAGCAACAATTGTTTGTATTTGATGCCACTGTATATCCACACAACCATAACATATGACATGTCTGAAAGCATCATGGCACATCAGCTCATATCATGAACAAAATATTATTTCTGATCAGGACCTGTCAGTCACAATAACATTGTTAGAAAAATATTTGTTTTCAGCCGTGAGCAGTAAGCAGCTCTTCTTGAGAAAAGAGGCCGATCTTATTTGGCTGATGGTGCACTGTGGGCCTGGATAATGCAGTGACATGCTGCCACTGCCCCAAAGCTTTGCCTCATTTATAATTGACAAAAGAACTGTGAATCTCCAGAGAGAACACCCATCTTCCAAGCCTCTGCTGAAATCAACCCTGTTATCTGATACTTCACAAGCAAACGCCCATCAGCTGGAAACAGCTTTGTAAACAGATGGTTGTGACAGAGAGAGATGAAATAATATGACCCGCTCTGGAACAAATGAACTGCCATGAGACAATGAAGATTGTGAATATTGAAGTGCAAAATGGGAACTGCAGTGTTTTTCACACTGAGCCAAGCTGGTGTAAATAGTGTATTTTTTTAGGGACTATTTTCAGCAGCTGATTTAAACACAATGGGTCCATGCGGGAAAATAAACTGAACAATGTTTGGAACATGTCAGCCAGTGTCACAATGTGAATCATTGACTAGTCAGTACTAGTTTTGAGGAAACAATGGAGGTGTATGGCACAGATGAATATGAATTAGGATGAATTTACTGTTTTATTGTCTATTTCTTTAGGATCTGAGCCTGAGTATAGCATACTTATGAATTTGACCAAAGAAAACGGCCCATAAAAGCCACATTCCTTGCATCACAGCGTAGCAGAAGCAGCATAAAGCGCCGTTTTTCGTGTGGGTTACTTGCCTGTTTACTGTGTCCTCCTCACACTAAAAGCACTCGGCTAATGACGGGTAATTACTGCTACTGAGATCCATGTCACATTATGTTAAAGTGGAGGTTGCAGATGTGCCTTCACAGCTCAGTTTCCGCAACATAGCTCCACATTTTTGCAATCATGATTTAGGTTTTTGTTGTCTGGGAAAATACGTTTATTTTATCCATATTTGGTGATTTATCTTTTTTTCAAGTTTTCAAATAAACTATTATAGGATGGCAACATGTGATTCTGTAGAGTGCAGTAAGCGCTTGATGCTTCAAGTTTAATAGCTAACACTCAATGAATCATCTGTTCAATTTACAACACAATGCAACATGATTCACACTTTCCCATAATGCTCAGCAGCTCCAGCATTAGAACAGTTGGAATTTGGGCAGCACATGTGATGCATGCATTACAGTACATCAATGTAAACATGCAATGAAGCAGTATATTGAAAACAAAGCTGAAACTGAAAAGTTTGATAACTCCATCCCATAAGTCCACAATGTAATGCAAACTAATTTGTGAGATGATGTAAGCATGGATCCCAGAAGACATCCGATCTCCGACAAAAAGATGAATGAAGATAATATCAGGTTATTTTTCTCAAGTTACAGCACTCAATGAGCTGATTCCTATTAAGCATCCTCCAGAGAGACATTGAAAAGGCTTTTAGTCTATTTGTTCTACTGTAAGAGTTTATTTGTGCAAACATTGATCACACTTTTATCATTATCCAAGTGTTGCACATGTATCACCTCCATCAGAGCATAGCTGATGTTCCATCTTTTAAGCCAATTTAGTAGATTTTCTATAACAAAAGTATGTTTCTTTCAATATGATAGTATTTGTACAATTATAGTATTGTATTCTATTCAGGATTTCATTCAACAGTATGTACTGTAGACTTGAACTTGATAATTTAACTTGAATTCAAAATCTCTGCTTTGTAAACTATCAGGACTATGTAACATTGTCCCGTAAGTGTGACCTCACAGTGTGACTCGATCCACCATTGACATCCTGCCAAGATTCCTTGTCACAGTTTAAACCTTTTAGTCAAAGTCTTGCACGCCATTGTTGAGTGCTTTGTAACATCCCTCCTGTGTTCACGCTCTGCACCCATTAGATGACACTCATTTTATACTCTTATCGCTTGCCTCCTCGACCATCAGCCCCTTCCCTTGGCACCCATAGCAACCGGACCTGTGGACCATTTCAACTCCCATCAATTTTTATGTGAGGGTGTGTCTGTAAGGTGACCTTGTTCCATAAGATTTATAACATGGTATTCAATGCCCGCTCTACGTGGGCTGAATGGTCATCCTCTGTATTGTCGTCCATTTCACCTTATTCAGCTTCAGACTCCTATCATAGTGTTTGTGTTCTGGCATTTGTCTTGCTGTTTTCAGCACCATTGTATGGTTGCTTCTGTAATGGTATTGTTTTTGTTCTGCATGCCAATATTTCTACTTCTCTGCCTGATGTCGGATGTCACCCTACGTTTGACACTGTAAAACACCAGATCCTAAAACCCTCCAAAAGCTGAGAGTCTGCTCTGTTCTCTCCCTCGTACATCCTACCTTAAAGACTGTCTGTGTCAGACCCTTGTCAACTCCTGTCCTGGGTCCCCTCCCCTGTCCCTGTCCCTGTACACAATTCACTTGGTTAAGTCATTCTCACTTATAACTTCTCCTAGCACAGATTTGCAGATGATCCTTAACTGATGCTATCCTTTTCCCAGTCTGAAACCCAGGCTGCGCAAATCTCTGACTGTCTGGCTGACATGATCTCTCAGTGGATGTCTGCATACCACGTAAAGCTCGATTTAGACAAGATAGAGATGCTCTCCCTTCCAGGGAAGGATGAAAAACTGCCTTCCCTGCTAACATCGCTGCCACAACCAACTCAGGCAGATACAAAAACACTCCTGGTTGCCATCCTAGCTCCAAAATGGTGGAACGAGCTTCCCATTGATATCAGGACAGCAGAAAGTGTGCACACCTTTCGTCATAGACTGAACACCCACCTTTTTCGAATAGACCTTGGCCAACAATATAAAGAAAGAGTTAAATAAAAACTCTCTCTTCTGTACATAGCACTTAGAAGCTAATGTGGTAGCATTTCATCCTGCAGAACTCTTGCTTTTGAGTTTGATTCTTCATGGTTGAATGCACACATTGTAGTCGCTTTGGAGAAAAAGTGTAAGCTAAATAAAATGTAATAATGAAATGTAATAAAAAGTGTAACTGTATTGATCTATAGTCTTGCCTAGGAAGATGACTAAATGTGCAACAACATCCCAATGCTGCTGGTGTGAATAGCAATGCACTACTAACACGGTCGGATTACAGAAGCTGGCAACTGCCATGCAGCAACACAGAGCTCCAGCGGCTCACTTTGTGTCACCTTCTGCTAATTATCAGCCGTAACAGCAACGCTGATATTGTTTTCACCTTGTAAGTGTGTATGTGCTTGCCCCCCTACTTTATGCCCCTGGACAAATGTGGCCTTGTGATAAGGGAGATCTCATAACAAGATAAGTGCCCTAGTGCACTGTTTTATTATCTAACCTTGGGTCCTTGTGTCAAAATCCAATTTAAAGCAGCTGTGATAGAAATTCCAATTAAATGGCCCAATTTCTCTGCAGGTACCCTTGGCATTATGTATGTCATTTAATTGTTTGGCTTTTTGTTGGTAACTTCACTGTCTTGGTTCACTCTCTAGTTTTGTTTAGCACCAAAAAGAGTCAGGTGAAGACCAAGAACAGAGCTTTAATAGTGAGTAGAGTGGACCCAAAAATAACTCAAAATGATTATTAATGTTGCTCCCTAACTGGAACTGTATGTAATGTATCCGGTGGCAAAATAATCACCATATGAACTCACATTTATTGTGGGCAAAAATACATGCTTTATGGCTTTCGTAATGTAGTTTTTAAATAAGAAAACCCTTTAATCTGTAACGGCTGGTGTTTTGTTTCTTTGATCCTTCTGAATACCTAGATATCTGTGCAGACTACTTATCATTATAGTATTATGATTTGGCACACATACACGCGTACAAATCTGAGGAAGATAAAAATCAGGAGGTGAGCTGTGACAAAGGCAGACTGGACAACTCTAGGTAGAAAGGACTTGAGTTGCATTCAAACTGAAATACATGTTGGGCTATAATGTAATAATGTCTGTTTGATGTCCAGTTCACAAGACTGCTTTTTGTTAACCACATGCTGATATTGATCCCCCGCACACTGCTGTATGCACATCACGCCCTTGACAAAAGACTGCTGCAGCTGCAGTTCTCACACGCAATGAGCGTTTTCCCTGTCCTTCACCACATAACAAGATGAACCCGAGGGGAGGATTCATCATTAAAGACATCAGCACACTGAATGGGCCATTGCTAGTATGCACCCTGAAAGGAAGGGAAAAAATACACTCTCCCTGAGGTTCAATTTGTTTTATAAAAAATACATCATGGACAGTTTAAAAATGTAATGAGCAATGGGGGGTGCAAAGACAAAAGGGACCAACAGGCTTCTGCAATCTAAAGCTGAATAAAATTGCCCAGATGTTAACCATAATGCACTGGCAATCAACATGTTAATTAAAGACTTCAAACTGTGTTGATAATTTCATGATATTAATGTTGTTATGCCTGTCATCTTAATAGTAATCGTGATACCTCTAACAGAGAGAGAGGGGGTGGGGGGAGAGGGAGAGAGACTGTGACACACCCCCTGCTCTGCTGTTTGCTCCCCTCTGATCCACTATCACAGGTTTGCATTTCCTCATCAGTGCAACCGCATTCACGCTTTTCCGGTCCTTCTGTGCGTCCCGGTGATCGCTGCTGCTGTGAGGAAGAGGATGAGACTGTCCTGTTAACGGATCCCCGGACTGTTGAAGCCTGCCTGCCTTTTCTCTCCGGATCTAAGGAAATCGACTAAAGGTAAAGGCACTATATCGGGCGGGACACCTCTGCCTGCTGGGACAAATGTCTCTAACACAGATTTTGTTATTGTTGGGGAGGGGAACATGAATAACATCATGTAAATCATCTCTAAGGATGTAAGTGTGTTTTTAATTAACATAACGGCGATATTTATCTTGCTTCTTCATTTATTGCGTTATGACGACATTATTATGCTACCACCCATTGCGCATAACTTTTTGACCAGCTAGTGACCTGCCTGCTGCAGTGCACCCTGGGTGCTTTAGAGCAGCAGATTATGTGAGCATTAAAGACAATTCATATTTCATTTGGATAATAATTACAATTTTGATCTCATTGTCATCCATACAGCTCCATGACCCTACCCTATGAAGACAGGGACACATCTAGCCTGTTGTAGTTTATCACCCTGACATGATGGGGGGGTCACTCTGGATTTTCCATGGTGCCACTGAAGCCCTGTTCAATGGAAAGAGCTTCATTGCAGTTCTACCTTTGGCTCTGTTGTTGCCAACAGTGAGAGTCAGTGCACAGACGATGATGATAGGTGGCCCTTTGGACTGCGAGGAGACTTGTGTGTGTGCCAGCAACATCGTCAGCTGCTCCAAGAAGAATCTAACCTATGTGCCAACCCCTCTTCCAAATTATACAGCTGTTCTGGATCTCAGCTTTAACAGCATCACCAGGCTACGTGCTGAGTGGACCCCCCACTCACTAAACAGGCTACACAGTCTGATCCTCAGCCACAACAACCTCACGTTCCTTTCCTCTGAGGCCTTTGTGTCTGTGACCAAGCTCCGCTACCTGGACCTTTCCTTCAATAGCCTCCGCCAGCTGGACGAGTGCATCTTTGAGCCTCTGGAGGAGCTGGAGGTGCTGCTGCTTTACAGCAACTGCATCTCTCAGGTAAATCGCGCAGCCTTCTCTGGCCTCGACAACCTGCAGAGGCTCTACCTGAGCCAGAACAAGATCTCCCGCTTCCCCTTGGAGCTGGTGAAGGATCGCACTAGGCTGGAAGCTCTTAGACTGCTTGATGTGTCCTCCAACAAAATCAAAGCCCTGCCCCTCTCTGATCTAAAGGTTCTGCCCGCCTGGATCAAGAACAGCCTGTACTTCCACAACAACCCCCTGCCCTGCACCTGTGATTTGCATGACCTGGTGGCACACTGGCACCTCAAGGCGCTCAGCTCTACTATGGACTTTAAGGATAGCCACACTTGTTTGTTACCAGGCATACAGAAAGAGAAAATGGCCATACTGGATCTTGACAAGCACTATTTGAACTGCAGTAAGGTCACGGTTATGGACAAATCCGCCTATCTGGAACAGCGCCTGGTCCTGGACTGTGACAGCAGGGAGAGGGACATGATGAAGAACTGGGTGCTGCCTGGAAACATCTCACTGTCTCCTGCCATGGAGACGCTTAATGATGGCAGCCTCCTGATTGGGCCCCTGAAGGCAGAGGACTCTGGGGTCTACACCTGCTATGCCACAAGTGACTCCTTTAATGAGACGCTGTATGTAACTGTAACCGTGTTTAATTCCACTAAAAGTGGTGGGCTCGAGAACCTAAAGACGGCCTACACTACCCTCATAGCATGTCTGGTCAGTTTAGTTATGGTTCTCGTCTACCTCTATCTCACACCGTGCCGCTGCGCATGTTGTCCAGGACAAGGCCTGGAGAAAAGCGACAGTTTCCACTCTTCAACTGTGAGCCTCTCTCAGGCACATGAGGAGACGGGGCAAGAAAGAGGGGAAGGCCGAGGCTTCGCCTACAGACATGTGGCCTTCATGCAACCCAAGGACCAGCTAGAGCAGAACGGGAGGTTGAACCCAATAGAGGAAGACGAGGAGTGTCAGGGGGACAGGGAGAGAAGGAGGTCTGACGCAGAGTCTGTCAGCTCAGTGTGCTCAGATACCCCCATGGTGGCGTGAAGTCAGTGGCACAGCCTGGAGGGTAAGACAGTGATGGCTCGACCCATGTGGCTTCTACAAAGAGATTAGTATGCACTGTTACAAATAAAAATATTAAAAAATATTATCAGAACAATTTCCTGATAAAATCAACATAGAAACAACCCAAAACATAGTGTTAATGCAGAAACATGTGATTTCTTTAAAAGAGGAATTAGTGTGACGTTTTCTGAAAATTATTGTCAGGCCCTGCAAGAAATTGCTACGCAAGCAAGAACGAAAAGAGTTTAAGATATGTATTTAATTATCTTTAGGGATTTCTCAAAAATATAATACTAACACTTATAGACAGCAAACAGCATGACAACAGCTTGCGTCTGAATAACATAGTTGCTGCTTGAAAAAGTAGCTAATTGTTTGCAGAGCTCACCAAATAATCCCTGTTAGATGCTTAGAGGTGCACTGTGTCAAATATGGCTCACATTTAGGTTAAAACGAACTAATATTATCAAGAGAATGTGAAAAGGTTACAGACATTATGTCCAAGTGTCTAGTTATTGTCTTTCAGAGATAAACCTAATCCTCTCAGAGTTTCGGTTGAATTGTGCTTATTCCTGCTGTTAGTAAGTAGTTTACTTTTTTTTTAACTGATTACATAAATTGTAAGGACCCAGTTGTAGAGGTAAAAAAAACACTACATGTCGCCATGCATTTCACATTGCACCTTTAATATAATGACAATTTCACATTCCTGTTCGGTTATGATGCCTTTACAGAAAATATGGAAAAGGTCACATTTATGCAATATTTTCAATTTACATTATTTAAGATTTGAGTGGGATTTAATGCTCAGAAGTTTTTTTTTTTTAATACTGCTTTGTATGCAAGCCTTTTTTAGATACAGCATAATTACAGAATTATAAACCCAGCCTTATTATGATACATTGTATTTTCACTGAAATTCATTTTATCCAGAAATCATTATTTATATATTTAATGTAGGTCGTAGTCTCCATAAAAAGAAACACAAAATAACAAAAGGTTGATTTACTAATTTGCAATAACTTCATTAGCACATAAACATTACCCATGTGGTCTGCAGACATTTTAGTTAAGAGTTGACCACTGAATCTTTCAGTTTGAACTGTTTAAAAAGCGGTTAATCATGTTCAAATGTACTAAATGCCAACTTAGGTTAGACTTAGATATGACAGGGGATTCAATTTCCATAAATAACCCTCTTTTATCATCACAATGCAGTGAACGATATGTTCAGTGTGGGATTCAGACTGCCGACATCCGGTCCCAATGGAGAGTGAGTAGCAGAACGGCCCGAGGGGAACAACTGAGAGCGAGTACCATCCACCGAATGTTTCTGGGCATTAGTGCCCAACCCTCAACAAATCAGCAAATGCCAGCCAGCCAGCAGTCTCATAAACACCATCAGAAATAGCAGCTCATAGTGCAGCCAACATGCAGGGGGCACCGATGAAATGTAAATATAGAAGTAGCAGTTTTCAAACCCATTTTTATTTCTAAAATACCTTCAAACTGTTGATTTTAACTTGAGCAATGTTAGAAAATAAACCAGCAAGAGATTCAGTCCATGCAAAAGATGTGTTGACAAACCTAAAGTCACTCTGGCTCTACTGTGATTAAACAACTCTCACAAAAACACATCTGAAAGTAATATTAATGATATAAATAGAATAATTCAGTGAAGCGTTTTAAGCAAAACACAATCCCAGATGACAGATGAGATGTAGCAATGTACACTAAACGTACTCTTATATTGGAAGGAACTATTACCTTATTACTGTCACTTCTCGTGGTGCCTTTTCAAGATAAGCTGTGGTGAATAAACACGATATATTAAATGTCTTTGTAGGAATTCTAGCACTGAACACATGACGTTGTGTGTGTGGTTTTGTAGAATTATAATGTAGCTAAACATGAGGACTTCATTGACTTCTGTCTCTCACACATATCCACTGTATGCTGATGTTGTACACTTCTTATTTTTCCTGTGAAAGTTTTTACCAAAGACTGAGTTACATGCAGAGAATGAATAACCTACGTGTTCAGTGTTTACAGTCAGCACCGTTATATTGATGTTGTTGTTACCAACCATATTTTCATTGTTTGAATTCAGCCATAAACTGAGATTTTTATATATGCAATCCTCTATAAGGACTTATTGTATTTCATTATTTGCTGCAATATATCTTGTCTGTTAATGTATTGTTTCTGTATGTCATGTACTAAAAGAAAACATGGAAACTAAGCGTGAGTGATGTCTGTTATATTCCTGAAAGGTGAATGTATTCAATCTTTCTAACAAAACTGCAGGCAAGTAACCTTTAAAAGATGAGGTTCAAGGGATAGTTTAGCAGTTTGGTAATCAATATTGGGTAATCTATATGTCAAGACAGTTATTGAGTGTATTTTCCAAATTGTTAGAGTACTCCGGATGTGACAGAACAGATATATGATGGCCTGACATGGACGTCTGTTTAAGTTGAGATCAGACCTCGGTTTGCTGGCTCTAGTTTGTGTATCACATGGCACAGCCTACTTGTTCACTTCAGGGTGAAACTTGAGACAGCACAGCTTGCTGGAGCGGAAACCATTCACACAAGAAGACATATTTTATTGTACCTGTCCCTAAGACTTACTTTCTTCTGGCAACATTCGGTGCTGCCGGCTTTTGAACCTTATTTGGCTTGTCGACCACAGGATCTGCCTGAGCAGAGTGAGCACCCTGGTCTGTACTCTCTCTCCTCTGCCAGACAGGAACAGTCAGTTGGATTTGTAGTTGCCTCCTGATGTTTGACGTCATATTTAGGTCTCATATTCAAGTTTTAAAACATTATCTTTAAAGGTCCCCTATTGTACTTTTTTCCATCAATATATTATAGTTCTCAGATATATACAAAACATGTCTCTGAAGTGTTTGGCTCGAAATACCAAACGGATCATTGTAGCATCCCATAATCCCCTCTGTTTCAGCCCTGTTTCAAAAGTGCTGATTCTCTGTCTGTTACTTTAGATGAAAATAAGGAGCCACTCCCCACGCCCCTCTGAGAGATATTTGGTTAAAAAGAACACAATGGTGCTCTAGGAGGAGATTCAGGTGATAAGGTGGGGGGGGGTGTTACCTTGGTTGATGATTGGCTAATGGTTACACAAGCCAAAAAAACGTTATGACATCATAAAGTGGCCAAAATCTGATCAGCTCATTTTCAGACAGGTTTTTATATAAATGGATCAGGAGAGAAAGACAATGAATCTTTTTTCCTGAAACTTTCAGAATCTCTTTACACAGAGGGGACACATGTTTATGTATATAAGACATGAAAAAGTGGATGTTGCATAATAGGTGACCTTTAAGTTTAGTTGCATCATTAATCATTATGTGAAATGCACTACATCACATTTTTTCACGCGACAGTGCAGAAAATGTGTGCAGAATCATTTTTTCAGGGTCAATTTTTGTAAAGAAGCTGCTCCATCTTCCTGACAGGCGCTGCAGTGTGAATCCTCACCTGCCGCCCTGCAGCCTCTCTGCAGGATGAATGATTGACGAGGTCTAAAGGATGTCCACACTGCCTCTTTCAGTAGCTGCTGTCTCATCTTACCATGTTACCCAGAAATACATGCAACACCAGCCAGGTGTGTGAAACTAGGTTAAACAATTTGAATAATGCAAAGCAGCAATGCGGCATTGAAATCAGACTTTAAAAGTATTTCATTATTGAATATTAAAGAGGATTGACTGATAAAAGAGTTACTGTAGGAGGTATGACATGGTTAACGATCTGTGTGTGGATGCATATCTTAAAATGGAAAAACAGCTAAATGACGCCTCCCCGTAAATCACAGATTATAATTAGAACAAATGCAGCAGCCTAAAGAAAATCTGAGATCACTGAATATCACAGATGGCATGAATGTAAGCCGGCGCCTGTTGACAATGAATGACTGGCAGTGGGTTCTGTGTTAGGGAGACTGAATTCTAAGTACGATGAGTCACCCTCTCCTCAGGCCCCTCCCAGGAGGATCACATGGATCACATAAATCCCATGAATGAGGAAGTGACTGTCCTCTCCGAGTCCTCTGCCATCTAGTGGCCACGAAGCATTTGGGTTGACTGTTCCTGCCTTTGCAGAATATTGCAGGAATTTGAACCCTCCTTTACAATAAAGACATGCTGACTGTAAGATCTGAAAGGTTATATTTTATTAGTGTCATTCACAAATATGACTGCTTTTACACGATAGTTTGTGGTGGTGGACAGTAGCCTAACTACATTTACTCAAGTGCTGTTCTTACTTTACTGCATTACATTTATCTGATAACCTTAGTCATTCTGACAATTCAGATTAATAGTACTAAATATAATCAACAAATTATTTAGCATGTATTATCATAGGTTAATACACCGCTTTGCAAGCTACTTGGCTGTATAGTAAATAAAGTAAAATATGCTTCTCCTTTACCAGCTGCAACAATAATGAACGTATTCATACATCAATCATTATAACTTGTTATAATATCCTATACGACAGTGTGCAGGATGAGTACTTTTACTTCTAGTACTTTGATGTTGATACCTTTAAGCTTTTTCTTAAGTAAAAACAAAAATTCAGAAGTTTGTACTTGTAACAGAGAATTTCCAAAAATTGGGATCAATAAAGTACTATCTTATCTTATCTCTTATCTTCTACTTTTACTTGAGCATAAGTATATCATTTGTTCATTTGCGGAACAGTGAATTGTGATTATAAAAATAAAATCAATTACTTTCTAAATATCAGCAGCTGTCTGAAGCCTCTAACAAACAGCTAATATCATTTCAAAGAGGCCCAGTGTTTTCACGTGCTTTCACACAGACTGAGCAAAGCCCACCCTGTTGTTTCCGATGTCGAAGGCGGTGTAGTACTGCCGCATGAACACCTCTCCCAGGATCCAGATGCCGGCTCCAAACCCTGTGCTGCAGCCGGACGAAGACTGAGGAAAGAGGACATGATTCAACATCATCTTCATCACCTCAAGTATAAATACTGGAACAAAAGTAAATCTGTGTAAATACTTGTTTAAGAGATAAAAACTGGTACAACTAACTAGTATGGTATACATAAAAGGTTTATATGTTGCAACTAATGCATTTTGCAGCATGTACTTTATAGTTAGAACATTGTACAGAAAGGTGTTATTGTCATTTAGCCTATACCCTCATTGATGCAAATGGTTACACTAAATAAATAAAAAACCTGTTAGTGAAATGCAATACAAAACTTAATTCAAGAAGTTGTATTAGACTGCATTACTTTAGCTAGCTGCAACTAGTACATTGGCAACTGAATGTATACAAAAACAACACACATATATATTTGTTTCTTGTGGGTCAGCTATTGCCTGTGTATAAATATATATTCCTAACCAATGTTTTTGCATGTTTAATGTGTCTTTATGTGACTCTGTGAGAAATCCCGTTGGCTGACGTTAAACAGGCTTTGTCTTTGAGCTCAGTCTGTAACTCATGAATAAGAAACCCTTCCCTCAACCACTTACTTCTGGAAACAACAACATCCAGAACCATAATCTATTTATCGTTCATGCTGAAGGTAAAGAGTTATGGATTGCCTACAAGGCTGTAGCTGCAAGTATAAACTTATGTTATATAGATATTGATTCAGATGCCCTGGAGCTCTTTTTAAAAACATAATGGTTAGAATTTCTCATGTGGGGGTTCAGATTAATCCAAAGAGCTAAAAAGACACATGAAGTTATAATGGAGTGGATATACATTAGATTAAATCATTTTCTGTAAACCTGGCAACCCAAAGGTTGTCCATATTATAAATGAATTATTAAACTCTATAAAGCAAACATTTCTCCTAACAGTGGCTTATATTATGAGTTATTAACTTTCATAAAGCCATAACCTTTAACTATAAACCTTTATGTTTGCATTACAAAGAAGTAATATAGTACTTAAAACACAAACCTGTATTACGTAGGCTGATGGAGGAAGAGCAAAGTTGTAGCCGTTTATGTTGAACATAATTTCTGGCAAGCTATTCGTGTTTCTGCAGCTCACAGAAGCCTAAGAGACAGATTAACAAAATGTTACCTTTTAAAACCCAAAGCCATTCACTTAACATATTTCATATAATACCAAATGATTACAACACTCACTTCACCAAACTGATCTGTGGAGGCTCCCAGCCAGCCGTTGATGTTGTTAATGTCTTTGCTTGGGCCGATGATGTAAGAAGTCCCAGAGTCCACTACTGCTTCACAACCTCCAGAGCAGGCCACAGTGTTCCCATTGATGGTGATGCTGCAACACAAAGGAAGTGTCATTAAAAAAAAAGAAGAAGACCTCTGAATGATGTCAACTGTGAAGTGGCTATATGTTTAAAACACAGCATGGACATTTCAACTTGAAAAGGAAACTACCTTTGTATCTGGATGTTCCAATAGTTAGTGGCTCCGTACAGGGGGATCCAGTTTAGGCTTCCAGAGTAATAGTTGTAATCTGTTCCTCCCAGAAAAAGCATACTGCCCTCTAGAGAACTGGAGGCACAGAGATTTGAACAAAACAAATGAGTACTGCACCATTCATAAAGCATCCAAGTAAGTTGTTTTACAGCATTATTCCTCTGTGGGTCTCAAACACGCCTCACCTGCTCAGGTACATGGAGAACATATTCTGGGAGATTTTGCCCTGGTTCCACATGTTGTAAAAAATAGGTGTGCCTCCCTCGTGTGACAAGCCAGGGAAGGCCATACCAAGAATCCCATCCCAGGGAACAGAGTCAAGGAAATTCGCCTCTTCGTCAGCGAGGCCAATGATCTGGTGCTCCACGTAGAGGTCGCCTACCTGATTAGGAAGAGCAAATAGTCAAATGTTATAGGAAACTGATCAAATTCTGCATGGTATACACGGGTGTGACTCAGCAGCATTTGTGGAAGAAGAATTAGGATTATAACCAAAGTACCTGTATATTAATGTAAAAGTTCAAGTACAGGTTGCAATGTCAATTATATATCAATTGAGTATCAGTATCACATCCGAGGCATAAGTAACATTACATGGTTAGTACTGAGTGTGCATGATTATTCTACTTGTTGGGTTATCTCCAGCGGTTCCCTGGGCTTGAGCTAAACATTTTGGAAATCACAGGTTTAAACATAATTTTGTAAATTATGAATCTGGAAAGTAACTAGTCATTTTAGCTTTCAACTCGAGTACGGTATTTCCCTCTGAAATGTAGTACTTAGTTACTTTCTACCACTTGTCAACAGTTGGTAAAGGATTACCTTTACGATATCATATCCTGTGGTTCCTGATGCATATCCGCTGATGTACGATATGCGGAAAGTATTTGTGCCGGCCTCAAAAGTGGAGGATGCCGAGCTGCTGAACATTACATGATTGCCTAACAACAGAGAGGCAAAGAGAAACAAATAAAGTTTTGCTTCATCATACACAAAGACATGAAAGACTTTAGAGATCAGATGTACTGTCAATTCAGAATTATAGCAAGAACTAAGGATGCAACTAACAACAATTTTCTTATCAATAAATCACACTGCCAATCTTTGGGTGGCTGTTTGACATCCAGGATCCTCACTTTGTTAAATGAAGCTGCCACACACTTCACACTCACCACAGGCGGAGCTGTTGCAGCTTGCGGAGGGAACCCAGAAGTCGGAGGAGCCGGTGTCAAAGAGGACTTTAAAGACCTGAGGAGGGGTCCCGATGCCAATCTCTCCATAGTATGTAGTCTTTTCTCAAAATGAGATCATTAAGTCAGTTCATGTGTTTCATGACTGCACAGGGCAGTGTATGCAAGTGTTACAAGATTCAAGATTCAAGAGTCATACTGTAGACAAAGGCTTTATTGTCATATGCCCCATACAGTATCCACAGAAAAGTAATTCACAGGCTCCTTCTAAAGTGCAACATATAACATACTTAAGCGTAAAAACATTGAAAAAGAATAGTGCAAAGACAAAAAGAAATACAATTGTGCAAGAGAATGGTGCAAGGACACAATGGTGCAAGTGAAATGAGTAAACTACATACATGTAGAATAGAGTAAGATGTCAAATTAAGTCTATGTACACCAGAATAAAACATGTTACTTACATCAGGGTCAAAGGTCAATGGCACCACAGTCTGCTCGACCCTTGGGAGAAACTTAGCTGCCGGGTTGTATGGAAACTTCTTCCTGTACTCCTGGAACAGGCCTCTCTCCTCCAGCTGTTGCCGGGCAGACTTCCCTCTCTTCAGGGGAATCCTGAGCAGGAAGATTAACAGTTATCTGGAAACACACTCAGCAACACGTCGCGAGGATAGGTCAGACCTCATAACTTATCCTAAAAAGGAGTCTCGATCTTGGAGTGATTTAGGGAGGGAGAACAGGAAAATAAACGACTGTGTTTTTGAGAAGGTCAAGAGCTTGTCTCAGAGGAGGCTGGTTATTAACGGTTGGATTTATATGACCATATTATCAAGAGCACTTTACAGTTTGCTCCACATTCACACATCAAAGACAGCTATTAGTGCAGGCAGTGGTAACTAAAACATTGAATTGAGTACAATCTGAGGTTCTTGTACTTGAGTTTACATGTAATGCTTCTTCCACTGCAATGCATATCTGAGGTAAATATTGTACAATTTACTGCATTGCATGTTTTTGATTAACTTCAGGGAAGCAAACTCTATACTTCTCAATTTTTTTCGGTGATTTCATTTTTTTCTTTATGACATTCTAGCAAATGTAGCTCTTTGCCTTTTTTTGTGTTTTATTTTGCTTAAAACATAGAATTTCTACAATGTGGCACTGCTACTTTTATTTTTTTCCCACTGCATGCAGGTGCATATGTTACTAATTCAGTTACTAAACCAGCAAATATTACACATTTAATAATAATTCAGTGGTTGATGCTGACAAGTTTTGCTTGCACTTTATCAAAAATAATTTGGGTAAAACTGATTTTATTAAAAACATCTGAAACTCTTCAACCTTTTTGAAGACCATATACGGTCATTTGACTTCAAATAGGACAAAATAATCTACCATTAGAATAAATCAGGATAAAGATGATGTACTCTGTTCTAGAAAATAAATAAAAAATGAAAGTCTCAAAATGCAAAGCTTAACCTGATTTCATTATTTAAAAAAAACATTTCAAATATTTAAAAAAATTAAAACAGAATTTACGCAAAAAGTGTGTCAAAAAATATATTTTCTTTGTACAATAAGTTGGTGTGTGTTGTTTATCTTACCTGAGAACTCCCTGCGAGACGGCCAAGAAGGCCAGCAACACAAATGCAGACTTCATTATTTCTAAATGTTCCCGATGTAGATCTCCCAGCTCTTTATAGAGGTCAAAACTAGTGTTAACTCCACCTTTTTACAGTAACACTTCAAACAGGTGAACTGATAAGAAACCACTTTACAGAGCATCAATGCGTAAATTCAGATAAAGGAATGAATGGGAAATGAATGTGTTTTCCGTAATGCACTATAATCTATTGCCAGGAAAAATACATGATTTATCTTACTCAGTTCTTTATTCAAAGTTAACTTTAGAAATCAGCATTCAAAATCAACACAGAACTGTTTTGATATGTGTCTGAATACAAATCGCTGTACAATGAGTTCCACCCTTTCAATTGTCTGGTTCTGTTAATAATTAATCAAAATGAACTCAATGGTGAAAACAATGTATCGCGCCTCAAACCATAAAACATGTCAAATGAATATACAAATAGTCAATTATATGACATTTTTTGTAATTGTAAAAGAACTACATTGAAAAAGTGAAAGATGAAAACCTGTATCTTTGTACCAATAATCCTCACTGATTAACAGACCCATAGCTTTATATTTTATTTAATATTCCATTCCCTACACAATTAATGTAAATAAGATCCCGCTTTATATTGTGTTCACTTAAAATTGTTTTATTGTCAGAGTTTATAGATGTTCTATCTTCACGGTCTACTGTATATTTTAATGCCGTTTTATTTATATTTTGAGATGTTTACATTTCAGAATTGTTTATTTCTACTCATAACTTGTTTTGTTTTTCATGCTTTTGCAACGCAAGAAAATACCAATTTGGGATCAATAAAGTACATCTTATCTTATCTCTGATTTGATTTGGTCATCTTGTGTCAGCCTGTGTGATAAAACACAGATCAAATTACATTTCAAGGAATGATGTGAAGTCCAGTTCTGTGGTTGAGATTTAGGGAAATTATTATATAACCTATTCAACAGAAAAGGTCTTCTCTGTGTCACAATCTGAAGTTGCCACGGACAACATCACGATCACTTTAGCAAACAATAAGATATGGACAACTAAAATAAAAGTTCAGGTGTATTTCAGCACATTCTCCCAGCAGTAAGATTATAAGAGGTGAGAGAGCGGTGAGGTTTGACCTTTCCCAGACTGCTCTGAATGACTTTCTGTTGACTGTTCTCATCTATTGTGTGTACCTTTAGAAAGAAATGTAAAGTATAATTGACTACTTTAAAGGTCCCTCTGTTTCATAAAATAATGCCCTGTCACATTAAGGGGTGTTCTAAGTATTAATGGCTTTTACAAGATAAAGAGTGAATGCAAACGTTATTGACATTAGTGACATTTCCCATAATAACATTATCACCTGTCAAGCGTAAATCAACTGGATAAGCTTATCGTATTATTTATTTTTAAAAACACTGATAGCGTATCGTTTCTCCCTCTGTGAGTTCAGGGAGTTTAACATGCCAACATCTCACCCTGCCCTCTAGAGGAGCAGCCGTCTAAAGACCAGATCAGACCACTCACACTCAATAAATAAAACACACAACATCAGAATAGGTTTAGAACAAGAGCTGCTTTTATTCAAGCACAAACAAATGCAATGTAGATTATTCATATAGAATACTAACAATTAATGAATAAGAAAAGTGCACATTTTGAAACAAATGTTAAATATACTCACCAAGGCATGGCTTCTGTGGTCTGATGACATCCTCATGACTTCAGATTCATAACAGCGGAGTTCATTCAAAGGGACGACTGAAAAGAAGTTGTCTTTCCTCCAGGCTGAGTGGACAACCTGCAATACTCTCTAGTTATGACGGGCACATTCAAAAAACGTTCACATCTGTAAAGAACACACCATACTGTCAACAATAACAATCATCTCTGGGTTGGCCTCATATTTAGAAGTAAATTGCACAGCTGTTTATCAGACCGTACATTTTTTATTGGAACACACTTTTTACAGGATAAAAAAATATGTTTGATTTGTTTATAATTTTGACTCTAAAACTTAATTATAATTCATATATAGTAAACCAATAGGTTTAGGTTTGTTCTAAACAGCTTCCTGTCACATGCAGGTTTCTTATCTAAAATACAAAAAACTAGGACTGATCATTTTCGTTTATTATCTGTTGATTTTTTCTTCCGATTATGACATGGTTGTGGTTCGGTCTCTCAAATGTCAGAAAATGATAAAAAAAAATAAAAAAAACATGTTGGCCAGTGTTTCCAAAAGCCAAAGAAGATGTCCTCAGATGACTCAAATGGTTTTGTTCCTCAAGTATAACTAAAAAAGATTTACGGTCAAAGAGGAGTAAAGAAACCAGAAAACATTGCCTTTTAAAAAGCTGAAGAAAGAAATACTTGGATATACTATATCATTTATTTACATATCTGACTGCCAAATATGATGTCCTCAAATGACTCATGGTTTTTTCCTTAAGTAAAGAATATCCAGTTTTCAGTCATAGAGTAAAGAATCCAGAAAATATTCTCATTTCAGAAGCTGGAAGGGAAAAATATATACTTACTATTACTTGAAAAATGACATGGACGTCACTAATTGTAAAGTCATATAAGCAAGTCATGCATTAACTGCCCTTTATTCCCTGATTGATTGATCTCGACTCCAGTGCCACATTTACTGTGCCACGCTCATGTGGAATAAACCTACTTTAATTACTTATGCTACCATCCGAACATATCTAATATGAATAATTACACTTATAGCGATTATTTACATATCTGACTAACCACTACTGACGGCGCACTGCAGGATGAATAATACTGCTTTTATAATGTCAGATTAAGCCACCGCCTGTTGAACATCGTAACCAGTGATGACTCAGTTAGGATTATAGATCACTAAAGCTTCTGTTGAGAAAGCTCCAATATTATGTGTTAATACATTCTCAGACATTTAAATAAACTAGCTAAGATATCAATCCAAAGAAAGGCACATGGGTTGGATAAAGTAAAAACAGACTGATCTTTTAAGAAATATTCCATGAATCATCTTGTATGTCTTCCTGGTTGACTAATGGCAGGTTCCTAATGTCTGGTATGTAACATTTACACATGTTGCTTTACAGGAGCTTTCTTGTAGTGATCATTATTTGTAATTTGACAAATGGAAAAGTGTCCGAATAATCAGGAAACAAGTAAGTAGACCTGACTGACGGGATATTTGCTAAAAACTATAAACAAACACCTGAAAAATGTGAAAGTGAAAATGTTTTTTTTTGGTTTTTCAAAGGGGATGGAAAGCATCAGTTCAGGTAAATCATTTTCTGTATGTTTTTGGTTATAGCTATTAAATAGGGTAGTGTGTGTTGCAGTCGTCTTACACATTGAATACGTACCTGGTTCAGTGGTTTGGGACATCTTGATACTTTACCTGTGGATTAGGAGCAGCCAGAGCAGAGGACAGGGAGACTCGAATCCTCCACAGGAAACCATGACTCTGCGGCGGCGGGGTGTGGACACTTGTCACTCGTCGTCTCTGTTGGCGATGAAGCAGCGATGAGCAGCAACAGCACCGTCTTGATGATAAACATCCTGACTCAATGACAGCAGGATACTCTTCACTTTGCTTTCATATGCAGTTAAAAGAGTGTGTAAATCACATCAATATCTCAACTAAAGATTAGGATTCCCTGCACAGGCAATCTGTTCTCTTCTGTCGTGTTTCCTCTCCATTTTAAAAGGCCAATAAAGCGGATGCTGCGTCACTGTCTCGACCTTTCCTCCGACTCGGGATGAGACACATTTTGAAGTCTGGCCCTAGCACAGAGATTCTTCTTCAAAACTCCAATGCAAGAACAACAAGCAACTAACACAAATGAACTCTGCTCCTCTCTCGAGCGGCTGCAGGCGCCGAAACAACCCTCTGGATGCTGGAGCCAGGTGAGAGAGAAGGCCGGGGGCCGCGGTGCTTCCTCTGGGGGGGGGGGGGGGGGGCGGCAGACGCACCACCAGCTGATTCTGGCAAAACGTGGACAGATGATTCTCAGCCACACCTCGGGACACAGGCCAGAGGCGACTGAGGAATAAAGCCACACATCTGAAGACACAGTGACTCTAAATTTGCCTTTGCTGAGGGACTGCCAAAAGTATTCTAGTTTGGGCAAATTTCAATTTGAAATCACGCTCCTCACAAATGATGGTCAACCAAATGAAACACAGAACCTCCCATTGATTCTCACACTTCCTCTCCTTTCTGCTGGGAAGGCTCCTGCTGTCAAAGTGATAAAGCCTTCAGAGTTTGAAAGACAATTCCAAGAACAGAAAAGGTCACAAAAGTTGTCTTCCGAGGCACTCGTGTTTCCCACGTAAGAGCAAATTTATTGAGACAAAATCTATCAAGTGCATGTCGCACTGTGACAGTTAGGTATACTTCTTAGGCCCATGAGCACTGATGTTCTCCATTTCTCTCTCCAGATATCCTGAGTATACAGCACAAATCATTTCTTTTTTCTCCTTTTGAAACAGTATTTATATCAAAGCATAAAAAACAATCATTCAAAGTCCTTTCAGAGGAAGGCGTGGAAGGCCGTGAGATCAGCCTCATTCATTCAGAAGTCCTTTGATAGCGGAGCAATGATTTATACTTTTAGACTCCTGATCAGTCATTCGAAATGTGAAGGGCATACATAGAGCGCGTCATTTATAGGTTACATTAATCTTTTTAAACAGTACATGCTTTGCTGGGGTAGTATATGTCATTAGTGGATAATAAAAAAGTGACAAATGTATTAACCAATGACTGTTTAACCAAATTAAAGGGTGGCAATTACAGTACAATATAAAAAGGGTGGACAAACACAACCCTGTCTAATCTGCCACTCAAATAAGTCATGTACAACACATAGCTGTGCACAGCTGGCCACATAGGGGGTGTGGAGACTCCACAATAATAATATTTAGAGCTGAAACAATCAGTTGATTGTATTTAAACTACATTATGATATATTTGACTGTTCATAGGAACATAAAAGCTACCTGAAGATCATCACTGTGAT